AAATTGTTTTTTTTTATCTCCTGGCTTCTCCAATATATAAATGTATTCTTATTTGGAATTCATAATCTTTTTTCTATACATCCCTAATCTACCGCTTTTTCATAACTGTTATTTCTATAGCTGGTCAGTGGTCATAAAGCTATCACATGATTCTATTGATCAACCACAAAGTACTGCCCACGTGTTCTTATCTTGTATCAGTCAGACACGTGCATTTGTTTATAAAACTAATTATCATCAAAACTCATAAACAGTGCAAGATATGGAAACTTATTTTTCTTCTACGGTTTTGAAATATTAAGAAGTAATAAAAACAGCTGAAAATGAAATTTCGATAAAATTTAGTTGCTTTTGTATTGTGTTACCTTAATAGTTGTAGAGCAAAAGTCAAGCAATAAATTCTGAAAAGGTTGCGTAGGATATATATGGAAGATATCTGGGTTTTTTAATGTATAACTAATATTCTTACGCCACTTCTTGTGTTTATTGATTAAGTTTAATGCTAATTTTAACGTACAATGTATATGTAAGATCGCTTGTGTGTTTATGTTTAATAAGCATCAGATTATACTAAAACTTTATTGTAATTCCACCTGGCACACTTCTATTTGGACCCTTTTTGTATTGATGAGATTCGATTATTTATGCATTTGATTTCCCAAACATTTGATTCTTTTTTTATTATTCTACACGTGTCGTGTTCAATGAAATGAGTAAGATGCAAATTTATACTATAGAAATCACTCTCGACAGCTTATGATTAAGTCGATATTTTCCGTCATATTTTCATCATAATTTGCTCTGGCTTATGTAAATCGTACTAATTGAGCTCATGGGATAATCATAAAACATTTAGGGTAACAGTTTATAAGATTTGAATTCACTAACACATATATAAATTACAAAACATTAAGGATACTGAGGTCTTCTGATTAAACTGATGTATTTCTTCGGTAGAGAAAAACATGGATTTGTAAGTGTAATGCATGTAAAAAAATATTTTTATAGATTTATAAGTCTTTTTTATTATAATTCACCAAAGTCTTGTGAATTATATACACGTAATTTTCTAAATTGTGATCCAACTTGTGTAAATAAAATTAATAGCCACGATTTATTTCAAATATGTCAATCTCAGTTTAATTTATAGAATATGATTATAAACATTCCTGGCAACTTCTGAATGTGGAAATTTAATTATTAATACAAAAAAAAAACGTCAAAGAAAGTTGTGTTGGTGGACGATTTACCCATTACATTCTTCAATAATTTGTCACAGTTGTCACGTATTAAGTGAAAAATACATTATAAGAAAACCTTAAAGCAAATTAGTTTATTATTATTTTTTATGTACACTTTCATAATGATACCTGTGATATATCTTTTTTTTTATGCCAAATTACCAACAAGTTTTGTAAATTTGATATTTCTAGTTGAAGATATTTAATGTTCACGATGAAATTGCACAAAACCGGTTCATATAAACGTCAGTGAAGAAATTTTTACTTTTTCGAAGATCTTCAATGAGACAATTTAGAAAACTAGCTTTATAAATAACGAAGTTTGTTTGAATTTCTGTTTTGGTAAAATATACGCAATTTTTCGGTCTGCTGATTGAAAGAGTTACATTTTTAATGTCTTAACATTTTATTAAATCCTGTCTATTTTATTAAGATATTCAAGTAAGTTGTACCTTAATTGAATTGTTTTAAAATACACAATCTTTATCATGTTCAATCTAGTATAATGACATCCTTTTTTTCTGGTATTTACACTGTTTTTCTGTACCAAGTGAGTCTATTTTCACCATGTTTTCATTTGTTGTGGCTTGTTTCGTTTTTGCGTTTATTTTTTGGTTTCGGGTGTTTGTGGTTGATGTTGTCTGTTGTGCTTTCCAATATTTTTGGTAATGACTTTTATATATCAATTTTCCAGTTCATAAGCTAATTGTGTTCAAAACAAGTCTTATTCACTTCAACAGTTTAAACGGACTTATTTTGTTTGTAAGAAGGAATATAGATATATCTTGACCAAATTCATTCCGACTCGACTGTACTTCATCGACATACAAAATAAAAATAAAAAACAAAAAAAATGTAGCATAAATTCCACATGAATTGAAATTGTTATGTTGTTTTGACACTTTTATTCCGTGTCATAACTTTTTTTTATTTCCTAGTCATGACGGATTTCTTTGGTATTCGTATCGTGACTTTTTTCTTTGATATCCATGTCATGACGGGTTTCTCTGATTTACAGGTCATGACGGTTTTCTATGATTTACGGTACATGACGGTTTTCTACGATTTCCGTGTCATGAAGGTTTTCTATGATTTCCGTGTCATGACGGTTTTTTTTTATATCCGTGTCATGACTTTTTCCTGTTTGACAAATCCTTGAGCAGGCCAATCCAATGTTAAACGAAACAAGACATGACCAAAATTGTTTTTTTTGTCACGTGCTTATGACCAGTCTTGTTTTGGAGATTGGACCAACCGAGGGGTAAAATAAACCTGTTTGATTTAAATACAATGAAAAAAAAATTGCTTACTTTGGATTTCTTTGGAAAATCTATGTTCGTCAACTCTTTTAAGTTTGACGTATACTCTCGTAGTTCCCCAGCAGCAAAGGGTCAATTATTGTTGAATTATTCATGTCATGAATAATCATTAGTAATGTGTATTTTTGAAATCTCAAGGTGGATTTTTGAAATCTCAAGGTGCATTTTTGAAATCTCAGTGTGAATTTTTGAAATCTCATTGTGTAATTTTAATTCTCAGTGTGTGTTTTTCATTTTTCTTAATCTCATTGTGTCTTTTGGAAGTCTTAGTGTGTATTTTTCAATTATCAGTGTGTGTTTTGAATTTTTTTTAATCTCAGTGGTTTTTTGAATATCAATATGTAAATTTGTCGATAAAATGGTTGAAACATAGTTTTAACGAGAACGGCTTGTCATAGATCATCAATGCTCTTCAACTTTATTTTTGGTGTTCAATGGTCTTCAACTTCTTTCCTAATTTGGCCTTTTAACTTTTTATTTGAGCATTAATGATGAGTCTTTTGTAGACGTTTCTCGCGTCTGACGTACAAAATTATAACCCTGGTATCTTCGATGAGTATTTTTTTATTTCATTGGCGTATCAATTGATTCATACTAAGAAGCAGACATTTTTTTCCCTTTCCGTCATAGAATAATTGTACCTGCCAAACAATTTCTTTGGTTTTATCTGGTCTAGACTAGTGCTCCTAATATTTAGTTTGTCGGCTTTCCAAACTTTTTGCCTTTGTTTAAGGTAACACGATACCAAATGACATTATTTCATGAGTTACTGTTCCTGACGTTATTGTTTTTTGAGGTCAAGTTATTGCATATTTTGTGGAATTATACACATAATTACGAAATTATCTAATGATGTTATTTTCCTCATTCTCGTTTTACGGACGCCATCAAGAGTTGGTTAACCGTTATGAAATATCTGTTTCACAGATGACGACGTATATGTAACCACAATCCCGTCCACCTTTCCCCTGAATGTGACCTACCGAATTAGACTTATCACCGGATTTGTACTTACATGAGCACCACGACATGTGAAGCAGGATTTGTTTTCCTTTCCAAGGCACCTGAGATCACCCCCAGTGTTCGATGGGGTTCGTGTTGCTCAGTCTTTAGTTTTATATGTTGTGTTTTATATACTGTTTGTCTTTTGGTCTTTTTCTTTTTTGCCATGACCTTGTCACTTTATTTTTAACTTATGAGCTTAAATGTACCTTTGGTATCTTTCGCCTCTTTTGTAAGCAAACATGTATACTAATATTTTTTTCTTAATTTGATCAATGTGATTGCGAACTTTGAAGTTTTGATATCATTTCAAACGTTTGTCTTTTGGTATTTTTCTTATCTTTGTTTTTGCGATGGCGTTGTCGACTATATATATATATTGTATCTTAATATGATCAATGTAATTGCGTAATGACAAACTACTGCACCAAATCAATTGTGATTTACTCAGTCAACTTTGAAATTGTGGTAGCATTGCAAACGTTTGGATATCTAAACCATGCAGCAAGTTAATAGCATAAAGATCTGTTGGATTATTTTATTCAATGTTAATATAAAATAACGAGTAAACCTTTATGACAAAAACTGTCAACAACTGACCGACAATCATCGACCCACTGATGATTATACGGATTTTTTTTTTCAATTAACATTATCCAAAATTATACAAAAGTCAATCTTAGAAATTTTGAAAAAAAAGTTATTATGGTTTTATTTTTTGTTAGGTTATATTGTGTTTTGATAACTAATTAATCGTCTAAAGGGAAAGATAATGTCTTCTCAGTTTCTCCAACTCTCATTCAGATCACAGACATCCTAAACAGTGGACCACCTATCTTAGCATGCATAACTTTAGCTATCAGCCCATCCTTACCAAGTTTTCCGATTTCTTAGCTGCGGCAAGTATTTTTTGTCGCCTGTATAGTCGTGTTAATTCAATCTGTCAGTAAGATATTCTGTATATCACCTGATTTGAAATTTACGTTTGTAAAAATTGGATTAAAAATGTATGTTTAGAACCCTGTCTTACTTCTATTTATATGCACTATTTTCGTTGATTTTTCCATCGGTTATAGTTTATTTCAAATGTTGGATTTTCATTATTGATCTGCATTTATGTAGATACAACAACAATTCATATACACAGTAAATAAAGATATACAAAGTAAACAATTCAATTATATATTGATAACTTATCAGTCAATTGTAAACCAGCAAATTTTGCTCCTGGTCACTTTCTAATATAAAAGAAAACAATGTCACGTAACAAAAAGCAAATGAACATGAATAGCCTATGTAGATTGTTTATAATTGTCTTTAACATACTAAAATGTACAAATGTGAGAAGCTTGAGAAAAAATTAACGTATCAGGTCACGTGAATCTGTACGCTAATCTTGCATTTATGATGATAAACAGTTTATAAAGAATTTTTCAAACTACTTATCCGAGGACTGTTCCGTAGGCTTGGGCACTATTTCTATAACATATATATTTTCTGTTTGGTCGCCATTGGATGATTTAGATTCCGACACGAAATAACCATCTGAACCCGAAAGTTGAGGTTCTGCTTTAGCTACTGGTACTACTGGTGCTGCTTCCGGTACTGGTGCTGCTTCCGGTACTGGTACTGCTTCTGGTACTGGTGCTGCTTTCGGTACTGGTGCTGCTGGTGCTGCTGGTGCTGCCAGTGCTGCTTCCGCTACTGGTCCTGCTGCTACCAAAGGAGACACTTTAGATTTCCTTGACGAATTATTTTTTCTGTTACTGTTTCTACTAGAACTAGAACTTTTATTACTGCCACTATCTTTTTGGTCATCACTACCATCACTTCCGTTACTATCATCACTATCGTCGTCGCCATTACTATCGCTATTACCATTGCTATCACCATCACCATTGCTGCTGTCACTTCCGTTATTGTCATCACTTCCGTTACTGTCGTCACTACCATTGCTGTCATCGCTACTATTGCTGTCATCTTTGTTATCGCTGTCACTACTATCACTTTCACTACTATCGCTGTCGTCATTGCTATTTTTGTCGTCTCCATCATTACTGTTGCCGCCACTACGATTACTTGTGCTGCTACTCTTGCTATTACAATTGCCTTTAGATTTTCCATGAGTTCCACATGAGCTTGGTTCGGCCTCAGGCGCTGCCACGGAAGATGATTCAGATTCACTTGATGAGCTGCCATTTCCGTTATCATCACTGCTGTCATCGTCATTACTGTTGTTGGAAGAGTCGTCACTACTATCGCTGTCGTCACTACCATTGCTAGAGTTACTTCCATTATTGTCGTCTTTACTATCGCTGTCGTCACTACTATTACTGTCGTCGCTATCATTGCTAGAGTCGCTTCCATTACTGCTATCACTACTATTGCTGTCATCACTGCTACTGCTGTCACTACTATCGCTGTCGTCACTACCATTGCCAGAGTTGCTTCCATTACTGCTATCGCTGTCGTCACTGCTATTACTGTCGTCGCTACCATTACTTTTGCTGCTACTTCGATTACTTTTGTTGTTATGACTACTCTTGCTATTACAATTGCCTTTTCCTTGAGTTCCACATGGGCTTGGTTCGGTCTCAGGTGATGCTACGGAAGATGATTCAGGTTCACTTGATGAGCTGCCATTACCGTTATCATCACTGCTGTCATCGTCATTACTGCTGTTGGAAGAGTCGTCACTACTATCACTGTCGTCACTACCATTGCTAGAGTTACTTCCATTACTGTCGTCACTACTATCGCTTTCGTCACTGCTATTACTGTCGTCGCTACCATTGCTAGAGTCGCTTCCATTACTGCTATCACTACTATTGCTGTCATCACTGTTACTGCTGTCACTACTATCGCTGTCGTCGCTACTACTATCGCTGTCGTCGCTACTACTATCACTATTGCTTTTCGATCTTCCTTGAGTTCCTGATGGTGCTGCCTCGGCCTCAGATGATACCACAACTACAGGAGATGATTCAGGTGATGCTTCTACCACAGGTAATATTTCAGGTGATGCTTCTACCACAGGTGACATTTCAGGTGATGCTTCTACCACAGGTGATGATTCAGGTGATGCTTCTACCACAGGTGATAATTCAGGTGCTACTTCAACACCAAGTAATATTTCAGGTGTTGCCTCAGCCACATGTGATAATTCAGGTGAAGCATTAACAGAAGGAGAGGATTCGGGTGATGCTACAGCAACATGTGATAATATTGGTGATACAACGTTCACAGGAGATGATTCATGTTTACTTGATGATTTTCCGTTATCATCACTGTTGTCGGAAGAATCGTCATCACTATTATTGCTGTCGTCGCTACCATTGCTGGAGTTACTTCCATTACTGTCATCACTACTATCGCTGTCATCACTGCTACTGCTGTCACTACTATCGCTGTCATCACTGCTACTGCTGTCACTACTATCGCTGTCGTCACTACCATTGCTAGAGTTACTTCCATTACTGTCGTCACTACTATCGCTGTCATCCCTACCATTTTTAGAGTTACTTCCATTACTGTTATCACTACTATTGCTGTCACTGTTACTGCTATCACTACTATTGCTGTCGTCACTGCTATTACTGTCATCGCTACCATTACCATCGCTGCTACTACGATCACTTTTGTTGCTATGTCTACTTTTGCTATTACAATTGCCCTTTCCTTGAGTTCCACATGGTCTTGGTTCGGCCTCAGGGGATGCTACGGAAGAGGATCCAGATTTATTTGATGAGTTGCCATTTCCGCTATCATCACTGCTGTCATCGTCATCGCTGCTGCCGGAATTATCGTCACTACTATCGCTGTCGTCGCTACCATTGCTAGAGCTGCTTCCATTACTGTTATCGCTACTATTGCTGTCATCACTGTTACTGCTATCACTACTATTGCTGTCATCACCGCTATTACTGTCGTCGCTACCATTGCTATCGCTGGTACTACGATCACTTTTGTTGTTATGTCTGCTGTTGCTATTACAATTTCCCTTTCCTTGAGTTCCACATGGTCTTGGTTCGGCCTCAGGTGATGCTACGGAAGATGACCCAGGTTTACTTGATGAGCTGCCATTTCCATTATTATCACTGTCGTCGGAAGAGTCGTCACTACTACCGCTGTCGTCGCTACTATTGCTGTCATCACTGTTACTGCTGTCACTACTATCGCTGTCGTCGCTACTATTGCTGCTATCACTGTTACTGCTGTCACTACTATTGCTGTCGTCGCTGCTATTGCTGCTATCACTGTTACTGCTGTCACTACTATCGCTGTCGTCACTACCATTGCTAGAGTTACTCCCTTTACTGTCGTCACTACTATCGCTGTCGTCACTACTATTACTGTCGTCGCTACCATTGCTAGAGTTGCTTCCATTACTATCGCTGTCACTGCTGTTACTATCATTGGTATCATCGCTCCCGCTATCACTACTACCGCTGTTGCTTGACATTACTGCTACCGTTTGTGGTGATCCAGCATTAGTTATTTGTGGAGCTACGTCAACTACTGTTTGGCTTCCAGTTGATATTGCTTTACCAGCAGAACATTGTTTCGAGGAACATCCAGATACACTAGATGCCACAGATGATTGAGAAGCGGCCGCTGATCTAGCTCCAGTCAAAATAACAGCTACTGGTTCTGTCTGAGCTCCAACGGCTGTACTGTGAGCAGCAGATAAAGCAACAGCGATTGATGAAGCAATCGATTTGGTAGAACCTGAACTTCTAGAATTGGATGAAGCACCCGAATTGCTTGAACCTGAACTTCCAGAATTGGACGAAGTACCCGAATTTCGTGAATCTGAACTTCCAGAATTTGATGCATCATCTGAAGAGGTTGAACTTGAACTTGAACTACCCACAGCAGAAGACTCACCTGCTGCAGCATTTGATGACCTTGATCTTGAGCTACCAGCAGCAGAAAACGTAGGAACTGCTGCAGCACTTGATGAACTTGACCATGAGTTAACAGGAGCAGAAGCTGCAGCAACTGCTACAGCACTTGCAGACCTAGAACTTGCTCTACTAGCAGCAGAAGACGCAGCAACTTCTGCAGCACTTGACGAACTTGCACGTGATCTACCAGCGGCTGAACCAGCAACTGCTGCAGCACCTGCTACAGCGCTTGTTGTTCCTGATGATACTGGTGAAGCGGCAGCCGAGCCACAATCTACTGTACATCCTGTACCAGAACCGCTTCCTTGTTTGTCATCTACTCCGGATATAACTCCGTAACTAGCCACTGATGATCCTTTATTACCATATTTCTGTACAAGAGAGCCCTTTTGGTGAAGAACTGTATCTACGGGTGCTGCAAAGAGTAAGGATCATTAGTAAGCAAGATTACTTTTCAACAATAATGACACTCTTATTCAAATAATTGGTAAAATAGATATAAGAAGATGTGGTATGTTCATTAAAGATTCTCTAATGATATTGATACAGGTTTTATAGATGATCGGCAAGGGACGGTCATATGATTTTCGGAAGGAGGATCTGAAAATAAATAGTTTTGCCGAAGACAGAATGGAAATGATTATTTTACATTGTCAAAAACCAGGATATACTTGTGAATAAAATCAAGATAGATAAACAAAAAGCAATGTCTAGTAACAGGTCAGGTGTAAATAAATATTCTGCCCACAACAAATCCTTGTGACCCTCCCCAACCCCCCTTGAAGGAAATCAAATGATCGTTCCCTGAGAATAGATTGATGATGATAGTGTACACTGCATTTTTCAACTGTGTCATCATTGTAATAAGCTATTTTTAAGTTACATTTCTTTCTTTATTGGATTCTCAATTTTATGTACCTTGCAGGTTGAAATAAGTAATTTGCACATTATCGGTTACAGCTAACATTAAACTGCTGGACACTTCTGACAAAAAAGTAGTGATTGATTGATTGATTCTTGGTGTTTTGCGCACCTTTCAGCACTCGTAGCTATATCGTGACCGCCAGTGTTATTATTGGAGCCTGAGTGCCCGTAAAGAACTATCGTACTTCGGCAGAAAAACTAACAATCATTTTCAATACAGATTGGAGTTGAACGCACTTGCCACGTGTTAGTGTTGACAGGCTAGTGATACAGTAGATGGACTACTTAGACCATTCGGCCACGAAGACCCCCCGGGAAAAAAGTGACGACTAATTAAGTTATAAGGATGGATAGAAAATAAATTGATTGATATATAAATGAACCCACGGAAATCATGCCATACGTTTTATTTTAAAACAATACCTGTTAAGATAATCACGAAAAGCATACGTGAAAAGAATTATGTGGTTGTGAAAATAAGGATTTTTGGTGCAATTGGCTAAGACAATGCCCAAAACCATTAGATGGCGGACTGTAATATAACTGTCTGAAGTTGAAAATACACTATCGGGACATTGGGACAAGACAGTATGTCTCGTGTCGATAAGCAATAAAGGGTTGCTCTTTTATTCTTCCGAACTTTTTCATAAAATTGAGAATGGAAACGGAGAATCATGTTGATTCAGGGATAAAAAAAAAAAGGAAGATGATCATGCCATCTCTTTCAATTAATTCGTTATTATGAGTTTTTCTATTTTTTTGTATTCATATTGGTAGCAAAAGGAGCACGTTCGGTGCATACTGAAATTCCTTCAAATCTTTATTACAGTCTTATTTAAAATTACCAACAAGAAAAGTGGAGCAAATGTTAACGGTGAACAGTGTACAAAACAGTACAAGAACGTAGAAGAGACCCAGTATTATTTTATCAGTTAATGGCCAATAATGCAAAATTCAAGATATTGTCATACATTTCAGAAAGCGTCCGTTGATACGTATGACATATTTAATCAGTCCATTCAGAATTTGGAATCGAATCTCTTTCTTTATTTATGGTTAAGGATTATTTCCTGAAGTCAATTTATATTACAAGAGCAAACTTATAAATCACCTTCGGTGGGAACTGACAATCCTAGTCATCGAGCACACCTGACACGTGCGAGATTTGAACACACAACATCAGTGTTGACAGTCTAGTGATACAGAGGTCCGATTACTTAGACCACTCGGCCATCGAGGCCCCTTAACCAAAACGAAGAACAACAATTAATCTATAGCGAAGATGGAGATGTTATAATTACACAAATAGTTTGTTTTTTTAAGTAATTGACAACATAAAATTGCTACCCCAAAAATAATTGGTTCATAATTTTCATCTCAAAGTTTTTCACATTTACGTCTGTATGCTTACTTAATTCATACTAGAAATACGTTAATGTGCATAAAATGCTATTTAAAAAAAGTTTCAATAATGGCACGACACAATCGCGGTGTTTTATTTTAATGACCTAGATTTTTAAAAGAAATAATAATAATTAACATGGAATGGCAATGAACTTTAGAATAAACTTGAGGATTGAGCATTTATTAATGTCATAATAAAATTATGATGCAATTATTTTGTCGAAATGATGCATCAATAGGTCCGGGAACACAGTTATCGTCCTTTGATTTTCGTTGTCTACAAATATATTCCCTATTGTGGACCGTGTTTTTTTTTTATACTCCTTCCAAATTTATTTCTTTATGTTTTATGCCTCATATAGCAAGTAAGGAGAAGAAATTACACTCTAGACAAAATTGGGTCATGAATTTCAAAGTTAAGTAGTGATTTGGTCCAGTTGAAAAAGGTTAAAAATTAGTATGTCTGAATCTGTCAAAAGAATTCAAGATCCCCTTTACATAAAATTGTCCGTAGTTTGAGTTAGAATTGAAATTTTCTATAATTTTGATATAATTTGTCCCAAAATTAGTACACCACACTGTAAAAGTATTATTGAGAAAGGTAGGATTTTTTAATTTCATTTATTGTCTCGAAGAAATGCACTACGAAATAACGGTGTTCTCGGGCAAATAAGGATTATACAATAGATTTAGAAAGATTTATTTGTAAACTAAATCTGAGAAGTAAATTAAAATATATACAAGAGGTGGATTATTCTTGATGATAAAAACCGCAAACAGATCGAAAATTTTATTTAGTGAACGAATTTTCTACACATTCGTGTGGTTGAAATTTGACAAACTGCTATTCAATTTTGAGAAGGATTTATATTTACGCGGGGCTCACATACTTTAGCAATTCTAATTATCTTTCGATATACGACTGTGGTGTTTTTAGTATACTGCAAGACAACATTGGACTGTTGTAGAGTCGTCACTGGTTCAGACGTACTTATAATATAATTATTTCTGAGACTGCATCTTACATTAATTTGTAGTATCCTTTACAATAGATAATTCAGCTGATCCGTAACAATTCTATCTTCATGCCTTATATATCATGTACTTTGTTACGACGCTAGATAAAAACTGACGAGGAAAGGTAAAACCCGGCCACCGAAAGCTTTATTATAATAGAGCCTAGGTGGTCGAGTGGTCTAGCGAGTCGGGCATAGTGCAAGGCGATTTGGTGCCACGATATCTCAGTAGCATGAGTTCGAATCACAGCCAGGGAAGAACAAAAAATTTGATTCCGCAAATTTCCAAATCTAACATTGTTGGGCTGTTGTTTAGACGAATTATATATATAACGTCTATATAGTAGTCAAAAATCATTCTTACGAGGATGTCGGGTTATGGAGAACGATACTGTACACGGTAAATGAATGAAATATACGTAAAAAAAAAGTGTACAACAACACAAAAACAATGATAATTTAAAACATAATTCAATGAACATTTCGGATAACAAACATCAGTATGAGCAGCCTGGTGTAACATGGCGTCCGTCAATAGCTATGATAATTTTCTAAAATCTTGACCATCATACAAATTAAACGCCGACAATCGTTTGTAGAAGTTACAATTCAATAAACTTCATTCACATCATTTAACAACAAAAGATTGAAAGTTTAGAGTTTAAGTATTCTATAATCTTGTAAACTAGATACAACTTAAGTAATTAAAACTGGCGAGAGTGCGTAGTTATACATTTCAAAATGAGTTCACGCATCTAGGACTGCTTGATTTTAACTACCTCTTTTCGTTGATCCAATTTGGTGCCAACGTTTTTATACATATAAAAAATGAAAACAATATGTTAACCAATTAATGCGTCTGAAGCGCTTTTCTATATTTACCGTCCTCAGGAACGCTCAAAGCCGGATATTTGAAAGCCAAGGATGAATAAAACTGAAACAGTTGTAGAGCTATATAACTAAAAAAGGGCCTAAAAATAGCCAAATCCATCTAAGCCAACTTTGCCTGAGGGAGATGAAACCTTAGTTTCTATAAAGAGTGTGTTTGCCTGTAGTATTGAAACGTGAAAGAGATTACTAAATAATTAATCTGAATATTTTGCGAATCTTTCTTATAATTATTAATTTATTATTCATTTAAGTGGACATTCAATTAATCTTTTTATTATTTCATTTGTATCTATTTTTCATAATGAATTACTTATTTTGAATTTAGCTTAAACTTTTTTTTTTGAATGATTCATTGTTGTTTTTTCTGCTCTTAACGAATAAAATTTGTTTAATTGCTATTTCATTTTCGTCATCATAAGCTTGTCATAACTTTTCTTATTGGATTATCAGTTGAATTCTACTCACTTTCATTTACCTGTTAAATTAAATACTTTTTTTCTTCAATTCCGAGATTTGTTTTCACACGTTAAACACTTAGTTATATTATTTTTAAATTTTGAGTTGAAGCGTCGATCAACAATTTCATAGTTTAGAGAACGTTTTTTAACCTGCCCACCCGTGCCCTATTTTTAAATGGGTATTACATTATATTTTTCTACTGGTCTTTAGGGTTAATTTTATGTATTAACAATTTTTGAATTTCTATATTGGTTATTCTTAAATTTGTTTATTGATTATTATTGAACTATTGTGTTGTGTGAATCCATTTCATTAGCCTAATAAATGTTTTTATTATCATGTTGTTTCATATTTCTGAAAGTAATTTCCGATTAACTCAGTATTCTTACCACTATTGCACTTTGAATTAAAACTTAAGCTTGTGAACTTGAGGGAAGAAATAATGACGGATGTTGAACTATTTTAATAAAAA